AAACGCCAGAAAGATATCGTAGTATTGCTGTATTCTATCATACATAAGTCTGTATATTACTAACACTGTATTCACGGAGAAATATGGCCCCGTCAACGTGTCACATTTCATCATAAACGTCCGTATACGGATCGTATTCTTCAACCAGAATGGTTATTTGTCATGGAGTATTTTTTTTGCTATAGATTAGAGATTATTTTATGCTAGTTTAGTATCTATTAGAAAAGTCGTTTTTGTGTATCATGTCAAATTTTCAAACTATTGTTTTTTTCAACTGCTTGCTATATACGAGTTGTGTTACTATCTTTATATGTTTATTACTTTCCTTAATCCGCGCTTATCTTTACATGTAGCTACATCCACATCTATATTCCGTTAGTTTAAGGTCAAGTTAATAGGCTGTCAATGAATGATACTTATTTAGTTCGATAATAAAATGTTTGAAAAAATCAATGTAATTTATTATCTAGTCTTGATAATTAAAAAGGTATAACTGCACATTGTGAATATACTGCAGAATTTTGTGTAATACGACAATATATTTCTACATCGTTGACTTCTATTGTCATCATTTGTTATTCGTAATGTTGTTATTTTTCTTCGTTGCACTTGATGTAATGAAATAGAATTTTTATATTCATATAGCTTACAAAGAAAAAGTATTCGTTGAACAAAGACAAACTCTTATTTGAAAACGATACAGAAGCTATGCGAAAAAAATCGTCGCATATAAATCTTAACAAAACATTATTGATTGAACAATCTACTTGAAACATTTCGTAATAGACTAAAATAAATTATTAGTTATTTATTAAGTAATCTAGGTAATACTATTTAGAAATATCGAACTTTCGAATTATAGAACTCAAAATTTTGAATCTTTTAAGTTGATTGCACATTCTTCTTTATCATGAATATTTTAGATCCATAGAGAAAAAAAAGAATTCTTATCAGAACAAATAGAGATTCTGAAGTTATTCAAGACATGATATATGATTTAATTAGACCATGTGATAAAATACAGAACATACTTTATCATATAAGAAGATTCAAATTCATATTTGCTATTAAAGTTTGTCATGGCATTTAGATTGCAGTCTAAGTTGTGCGTGTGAGTGTGCAGTATTAGTTTTTTGATTGCGCATTCCCACGTCGACATTCAAGGAAATATTGCTACATTGGAACAGAAAGCATCATCCATTGTAAGAATCAAAACATTTTTTTTTCTCCTTTCTCTTTTCTATCAGCCTGTCAGATGAAGCTATATTCGACACAGAAACTCTTGTAATTGAAAAGTAATCTATACCGTAAAAATCTTCTACTTACAATACATGTCCATCACTTGGGCATGCGTTGGTAACTTTGCTAGTAGACATCGTCCTATTATGTTCTCAATGAGACAAAGTTGCTCTGTAGACACGCGTATCTCTTCAAAACAAAAAAAAAATACTCTTTTCTCTCGATGACATTTACTTCTTTGAACAAAACAAAGATCAATTACGTTTTCCTTTTTTACATATTCGAGGTTCCTCTTCCATAATTGAAGACGAGGATGATTTTCAGACAGTAAGCACTGTCCGATGTCAACAGCACGTTCAGAAAATGAAAGTGAGTTTGAATAGTCACCCATATTGAAATACATCGAACCAATGTTGTTGTAAGATTCAGCCAAATCGGAATGATTTGAAGGAAGAATTTTCTGTTTGATTTCTAGAGTTTTCTGATAATATAAAAGAGCATTGAAATGGTCACGTATATTGTCATACACTGAACCAATATTGTCATAAGAAGCGATCAAATCAGGATGAGTTAAAGGGAGATTGAATTTATGAATTTGCAGCGCTTTTTGATGAGATAAAAGCGCATTCGAATAGACTCCCATTTCGGGATAGACCGACCCAATTTCAACATAAGAAGCAGCTAAATCGATATGTACTGGAAAGAGAATGTTCTTCAGAATTTCAATGAATTGTTGATAATAACTTATAGTATCTGTATATTCACGTTGACGATATTTAACCATGACGAGCATATGACATATTAATGATTTCTCATGATCAGTCATTTTTTGTTCAAGCAGAATATCATACATCTTATGGGGCTTTATTCAACTGCCCAGTTTAATCAATAAGTTACCCAAACGATCCCATCCTTTTTTTTCAGGATAGGTCTCTTTGCACATCTGTTCAGTAAGTGCGCACAATTCTGGATCATTGTCATTGGTCAATGTTAAATCGACTTGCCAAAGGCGATTATTTCTATCAATTTGTTTCATTGGCCCAATCCGAAAAATCAAATACATGGAGAATAGATTGTCTTCTTTTTCTTCTTTGAAATAACTGACTTCACTGATATTAGCAAATGCCGTTGGTTGAATGAACAGAACAATGTTCATCGCGAATAAGATGCCAACAAAATCGGATGTTTCAATCGTTTGACGAACAAAATTGAGGGATACAGAACGTTTCGTACTGGTCAATAAGAAATTATTAAAGGATAAAAGTTCACTTTGTGTCTTGACCAGTTGATCGAAGTCCGTCTTCGATAGCCCTTGACCACGATAAACAATAAATGAGCTGAAAGATGAATATTCAGCAAACTGTTGAGTATGAAGTTTAGCGATGTTGTTATGAAGATCACAAACAAAAAATCCCATTCTGATGATGAAATCGACTTCAATCATTCATAATGATCGATTGAGCATCGAATACAAGAAACATTGGTATGCATGCCACCAAATCGGGAGATGCTGGTGATATCTTCGTTTGATTTTGTCGACATTTTGAAGTTCTATTGGATTTGTGGTGAATAATTGACAACAATAAGTAATAAATTCATCGATGTCGTGTTGGTTGAAATCGGTGTTTTATAGGATGTCTTTCATTATGCGTGTGTAGGTAAATGAAGAATCTAATTGATCAAGGTTTGGTTTACTGCTTCTATTATTGGTTGTGACAAAACTAATCGAAATCATGTTTTGGTCACATTTATTTGCTGCTTGTTGAAGTTCTTTAATGATCGAGCCAATGTCTGTAAATGTACCGCAGATTTTCGGCCATTGTTTACTCCAAGCATTATGTAGAGTATAGGTTGTACTCCACATATATATATTACTGACTTGTGGAACGTCATGAATGATAGGAACACTTGTTTGTCCGAAAGGACCAGAAAATATGATAGATAGTTTTTCTTCTTGAATATCGGTTATGAAATCGATGCAATCATTCAAATCAATGAATGGATATATGTTGTAAACTACTTTTTTTCAATTTGTTGATAGTATTCATATCATTAATGTTGGCATCAAGTCACACTAGTAGGAAGTGTTGAACCATACGAGTATAAGGAAGCTGTGATGGCCTTATACCGGTATGTTTAGATGTCGTGCTGGCAGCCGTAGCACTAGCAGATGTTGCTATAGACTTTTGTTTGTTGTCCATGGGACACGTGTTGCTTTATCAATGAAAACCAAAAATAGAACAAAAAATAACTTGAATTTGTATTATACGTTTGTTTTTTTAATAGGTATTTCTATTTGTTTTTTGTTGTTGTTGTCCGTGTTGGCTTTTTCCTTTTTGTTTCAGTTGAATGTTTCACTCCTTTTTTCTATCTGTGGTTGTTTGTAGTGTGACAAGACAACGTATAAATGAAAAAATAATTCATAGCAGCATAATTTAATACGCTGTATCACATTAGACTTCCATTTTGAGTCTATAGGGTTCTGCGTTTCAAACTGAATTTGTGGAAAAAATGACACTCGATTTTTTTTTCAATCGCGGAGTTTAGAGGGATCTAGAAAAATAAGACTTTTTCTGAACAGAAGATGTGAGAAAAGGGTCTTACTATATATAAAATATATCGTACACCTCACTAATCAAGAGTCAAAGACACTCCTATACATGTTATCAGGCGTTTCGAGAAAGTGATTAACTCTCAGTCACATACAGATTCTTCATTCCTCTATTTTCATGACACATCATCTGATAAATCTTGAAAATTATCTATTGTTATTTATAACTATATATATAGAACCTTTTGGTTTGGGATAAGAGAACTAGGAGATATTCAGAATTATTTATATGAATATATATGTATATACCCCTATTTTTGAGTGTGGATGTGGGTGGCCATGTCAATGTACACAGGTGCGTGAGTTAGAATGCCAGTGAGAGTACACAACATATGTGAACTCACAAAGAACTGTCCTAGCACCCGTTTTATGATGTCCACAAATTTTCTCTCTCCTTCTCCTTATGTTATGGTAAATCTAACGGAAATCTTTTGCATTTAAGCTACTAGATCTTTGACAGATCCGATAACAATTCTGCAATAATTCACTAATTGTTTTTGAAGAAAGGACCAAGTCTTCAAGGAAAATGCGTAGCCACCGAATTTGAAGATCCTGAGGAGGTTTAATACTAGATTTAAAACTAGGCAATTGGTTCAGGAAACCGTGAATCGTGAAAGAAAATGAAAACAACTAGTGTAGTAGTTAAAATAACATGACTACTTTTATTTAATAATTTTTTCATATTCTCTTTCAAAATAAAAGCATAATAATCACTGATATTTTCTGACATGCGTCTGATATCTGTAGAACGAATTATAGAACGAACGGAACTTCATATTAAAATTTCGACAATTATTGATTATATAGAGACATGGAGCTTTGTAACAACGGTTGAACGAATATCTTACGAGTATTCGATTTTCAAATTATCGCAACAGACAATAGCATTTCGAGTTATGAGTTGAGAAATTAAAAAAACTCGACAATGATTACTGTAGTATTCGCACCATAACAATGCGATGAACTGATAAATCACTAAACAACAATAATGTCAATATGGTACTCTTCTCGACGCCATACATAGGTGCACGTTATTTATGAAATGATATGGAAAATCAAATTTCAATTATATATAAATCACATGGTTTCACAATTTTATTTTAGTCAAACAGGCATTTAAAATATTAAAATTAAAAAAAAAAGTGAATCCTCAATAATCATTATCGGATGTCACTGAATTGGCTGATCTTGGATTAACAATTGGTGTAAATGTATTTTTTTGAGAACGTCGTTTTGCAAAAAAAGCAATTGTTATAATAAATATAACTATACCAACTGAAATTAATACAATTGATACCCAATGAATAATAGTAAAATAACGTAAAACTTGATTATTTAAATCATTTGCTGACTTTTGATCAATAGTTGTTGATTCATTTATCCATATAGCTGGTAAAATAACTTCTGATATACGTTTGAGATCATCAATTAATGGTTCAGGTTGAAGAAATACATTTATCTGTAAACGTTTTTGAGCACTTAATACAAGACCTGTATGTGGTTCAACTTCAAGTACTGTTCGATGAATATTTGGATCTGGTGCAATACCATATACATTTTTTGTATATTTATCAGCCGCATAAAGAAGATGTGGTAATGATATAAATATTGGCGCACCTTGTCGACATGCACCGACATCAAGTACACCTGAATCATATGTACCAAAAGCAATATTATCTGGATTAAGGGTAGAATTAAGAAATATTTCAGATGGAATAGAAAATAATTCTGTTGGAATTTTTAATATCGATGAATGTTGTTCAAATTTAGCATAGACTGATCGACATATATCAGTTGAATATAAATATAAACGTTCAGATTGAAGATCTTTATTTATTAAAGGAGGAAACCATGAACCATCAGTTCCATTGATTTTATTACCCCATAAAGTTTTCCAATAAGGCAAATACGAAAGACCTACACAAAAATATTTATTCATGAAGAGTTTACAAGAAAATATATAAAAATATTTTTTATATTAAATAAAAGTAATCGTATGCTAGAATAATACACTCAATGATGGTAATCTTAGATACGAATCATTTTCTTTTTACATTGAAACAAACGTAAACAATTAGAAAACGATATTTTCATTGTGAACAATATGATCTACATGGAAACACTCAAAATTGAAGTGTTGTACAAGTATACATACAAAAAAAGATATATTATAAATTTAGTACGAAAGATAATACAATGTTCATATTGCAACATTTCTTCTATCCTTCTATAATTTCAAGCAAAGGTGAAGAGACAACACTCATAATCAAATGATTGTGAGCTGAAGAAAACAAAGCGCGACTTCAGTACTTCGAACTACTGAGGTCGCACTTTGTTTTCTTTTAGGATGAATACTATGCCACATATTCATTATCTATGTCAAATTCATTGTGTTAAGATCTTTTCATTGCAAATATGATCTACGAAATGATTAACTTACCGTTCCATGTATCAATAATATTTAATAAACTAATATTTTTTTGACCTATAAGGAAAAACCATACATAATCAACAATCGTCTCTATGATTTCTCATTATATTCTACCTGTAAATACTGTATATAATCCATCATCAGTTCCATTTTGTTCATCAAAATATCCAAAACGATCAGTAAGTATTAAATCTTTTACAATAGGTATTAATCTCGCTGCTTTAAGTAATGGATCTTCATAACCCCAAATCCATTCATCTACTGTATGTGTAACAAATAATGATTCATTAAAAAGATTCTTAACAAAATTAAATATTTCTTGTGTTATATTTGATTGATTACGAATAAGTGAAATGATAGTAACTATTGGTACATTGACCATTGTTATTGGTATTTTTTCATCATCAACTGACATATTACGTAAAAATGTGTATGATATTGGTTGACGATATGTAACTGTATAATTTTCACTAAAAAATACTCCAGTTTTTGTACGATGTTCTAAATAAGTAAATGGACCATGTTCAACAAGCATTGGTTTCGCTCCTTGAATAAAATCAACAATATTAATACATTCCCATAACCAAAATTGTAAATAAATTGGAACCGGTGGTGTCGCCCATGAATCAAGTTGATCAGAATCAACTTTTAATGGTAAATTATTATTTATTTGTTTTTGAAGTATACCAGGTCCCAAAATAATACCTATGATACCAATTATAACGAAAATACATGATATAATAACTGTTAAAATTGATATACACGAAATAGTTCGTGATGACGGCATGAATTAATGAGTGAATCGAAATGTATGTTGTGTAAGTTATCTAATTCTATTCGAGAAAAAGAAAAACAACAAGTGTCGTTGTTTCTTTTATCACATTCTTTTATTTATTTTAAGTGTCAAAAGGTATCAACAAATACTGATGATAATACGAAAAACTTTGTTTGAAAAATGGTCTTGAATTAGTTTAGAATGTTACAAATAGATAAAGTACAATTCGTGTTAGAGTGTTTATATTTATGTTAGATAAAATTGAACATTGTCGATTATAAGAAGAATATCTGTACTCATTCACATCATTTCGATCGTTATACATCTGCAGTTATGACAACAGGGCACATAAGACCATTCAGTGCGTGCTATCATATATATAAAGACATGAATTTGGCTTTTTGTTGCAAGAAATTTTCTACTTGACAAAATAATGTGTTTTTTTTTTCAGTGATTTAAGCATAACCTCATTAAACGGTCAATGTCCATGATTACATATATATTGTTCAAAATTTTCTTTAATTTCGTACTTTAATTAAATATAGGTCATATTTTACGTATTTATCGTTCGTTTAAAAAAAGAAAAGAAACGCTTTTTATATGATAATATTTTGACAAATGATGATTTTATCATATGATGGCGGTAGTATGCAGAGATGATATGTCGAAAAATTACTAATGCCATTCAATTACAGTCGGATACAGAAACAATTAGAGAGTCTTACTAATGAATATATCTGTTGAATTGTCGGAGGCTATTGAGTGTAAATTCCTTTACTTTTATCAAATAAAAGAAACAGATGAAATACACTATGTATATTACATATATGAAATAACAGAGAAGAATATTCTAGGAAACACATTATTTTGTTTATCAAAAGATACTCGATTTATGTTAATAGAAATAAAAATCTCAGAATTTATTTGTGTTATATATCAAAACTACAACATTAAAACAAGGATAATGCAAGGATAAAAAATTTTGAAGCGGATAAATTATTTTCGAGTTTTTCATTATTAATGTCTTTTTACTATTCAATGAATTTTCTTTCGATTATGTCGTATTTTCTTTTGTTTAGTTGGTTTGAGTTCAGTTGGTCCATATAAATATTTTTCCGATCTTTCCCAACCAGGATGTGGACCTTGTGTCCATGGATGACGTTTATTAAACATGGCATAACGTATATAAACTCCAGCATAAAATGGTTGTGCTTCAATAATTGTTGATAGACGATGTTCTTGACTTGTTGCACATAAAAGTACACCTGAACTTGTATCAATTTCACGCATATTATTTGTTTGTTTTGTATCTAAATTAATGCTTTTTATTGAACGAATAAGTTTATCTTCAATAGGTTTCTTTTCGAAACATAATGTAAATGGTTCATTTTCAAGATTAACCAATGTTAATGTTAAATGTAAATTTGGATATGTCCAAAGTAATGTACCATTACATGGTTTTTGTATTTGAGCATAAGCATTTACCGGTTGAAGATAATTACGTGGTGAAACTGATAGACGACATTCATCGTAATAGACTATATCATTATTATATATTAATTCATGTTCTTCACCAGAAATCTTACAAGTTAAAATTAATAAAATAACTATAAATAGTTCTCTGTTATACATTATACAGTTTAACCAAGAGTACAAAAATGAGGCGAATGAATCCTAATGTCTTTTGTAGATATGTATGAAAAAAAGAGATTTCCAGTTTTTGGTATATTTATATTCTTATCTAACCGCTGTCAATCAAATGTCATTTATAAGAGTAAACAATAATAATTTTACTATCATAGTACTACACTTTTTATTCTACCAATGGGTTTATTTATTAAATAATACAAAATGACATATATTAATCGTTTTTTGCTCTGAAATTATCCATTCTAGTTTCTAATGCCTTTCTTATCCTTGGAAATCTAGGTGACAGTTGATATGCGACGCAATATGTGGAATGAATCGTTGTTTTTTTTTTCCTGTTGCTGTTAATTTGATGAGACATATCAACATCCGACGAGGAAATAAGAAAATTAAAGTGAACAACTTTCTGATTTTAATATTTTTAGACAAGACTCATATTTAGATGAAAGTCAAAAGTGCACAAACAGGTCAGAGTTTGTAATTACTTTATGAAGTTAAAGAAATAAAATTGGTTTTAACATTTGAGAAAATTTTCAAGAAGTGAAAAAACCAAAAGTTAAACTTCATAAATAGAGCGTTTCTTTTTTCTTGATTGATTTGATCAATATCTTGCTTCTTTGTTAATCTGAAATAATTAATATTTAATGGTTAAATTAAGTTATTAATGACAAGATCAATCATTCTTAAACATCTATATCTTGCATATAAAGTTTCTAATATAAGAAAAAAAAATTACAATTGAGTTTTATTTTATGTTCGTTGTCTATAGTAATTTTTCTTTTTTTCTTTCTTTCTTTCTTTCTTTTTTTGACAAAAGTTCATCGAAGCGAAATAATTATCGAAAGAATGATTGGATAGAATCATTCGAGCATATGAAAATTGGTAGCATCGTACTTGACGTTATCAAATAAGCATTACGGCTAATCGTCACTTTAGTTCCTATCTAATATAATCATTCTGCTTCACTATATCAATTATATTAATCACATCTGAAGTAGTTACGAACCAACTATTTCAAAATAGTATTGACGTTATATATTCATCTATTGAACAGTTCTTCTTCTTCTGTTTCTTCTTCTTTTTATTAATTTATCTTATAAAAAAAAGACTAATTAGCAAATCGCATGTCTGCATTTAATTATTTTTGATAAATTACTGAAACGAACTAATAATAATAATAATAATAATAAAAAAATTCAACAATAGTTATGTTTTTTTTTTTTTTTTTGACTTTTTCTTTTCATGTTATTTAATGATTTTCTATGGTGAGACGTAATTATTCTGCATCAAGGATAGTCTTATATACATAATATTCTTTTGTTTTTCAGTCTATTGACCTTTTTTTCTTGCTTTTGTTTTTTATAGATCTTACATTGTTTGAAAAACGTTTTCGACACATGAAAAATATCATGTTGTTGTTACGAGTAAAAAAAAATAATGTCATACAATCATTTTTATTTACATTTACTATAACAAATGAATAATGATTCATTAGAACTATAAAAGATCAAACTAAGATGGTAAGTATTTAGTAGTTATTCTAAAACAAAAATAATTCTTTGAGAAATACGAAATAAGAAATATTCTATTTAAATAATATTCGATTTGTTAGCTTGTACAATGAAAATTTTATATTATAGAACAAATAGTCAATATTTCAGTATGAATTCTGCTTACATCTACTTTAAATACATCATTAGTTGTTGTTGAAGAAAAATTTTCTTTACGTGCCTTTTAGTGCATTACGCCAATTATATGAAATGGATCATCAACTCTGTATAGATGTAACTTGTATTAGTACAGGGCAAAACAAATTTCTTCTGATTGAGCAACATTTTATTTTTCTTAGATATGCTTTTTACTATTTCTATGTGCTATCGATACACAAGTTTTTAGTGATTCGTTTTTAGTTGATAGAGACACATACACTCTACATCTATCTTCTATACTTATGTAGCACTCACACTAATTGTGTTAGCGGTAGCTGTTCTAGCGAAAAAAAAGAAAGAAAGAAAAAAAGCCAGGCTTTCTAGTTAGAAATATATCTCGAAGTAGTGGTTGATGAACCCGAAAGCACCATCTTCTTTTTTTTCTCCTCATTCTTTTTATTATTGGACATGACCTTGGTCTTTACTAAAGAAAATACTTCTTCTTAGTTTTGATCTACATAAATAAGAAGACACACGAACTGATCACAAACATATGTTCGTTGAATTTGAGTATCTTTTCACTTTTTCTATCACTTAGATAAGCACAATTGTTTTGTCCTACTTCAACATTCTCGAATCATTGATTTTTTTTCTCTCTTATACTTTTTCATGTGTTATTTGTCTTCATAAACTTCGTTTATCTCATTTGGTTTGCATAATCACAGTAGAAACCACCGATTTAATGATCTATGCAAAACAAAAAAACAACATATAACACAATGACAATGAACATATAAAAGAAAATTTTCATCTAAAATTCTTCTTATATATCAAATCTTTCAATAAATTTTGTTTTCTTTCTAATGTCTTCCATTGAAATGCTCAACCAGCGTGAATTAAATAATAGCCGACAAGTGAGTAGCTTTTATATTCTACTTTCGGAATTAATGCTCTCTTTTTTCCCCTTTTTGTTATTAATGCATGTTCCTTGTTTTTGTCACTAGAACGGGATAGACAGATTCATTGTTCCGATTCCGTCTCTTTTATTATTATTATTACTATTATTATTATTATTATTATTATTATGTTAGCTTTGTCATTGTAGTTTGAGCTGTTGTTTTCTTGCGTTGTCTCTTCAATATGTCAATTCTATTTATTTCTTCGTCACATTACAACGCCTTCATCACACCCTACTCTAGTGGTAATTGAGATTTAATATAGCAAAAAAAAATCATGTTAGACAGATTTTACCATTACATGTCTTCTAGATTAAGAAAAAGAAATGAACATTCTTCAGCATCATTATCATATATGAATATAAGACACTACGTTTATGATAGGATTTGTTTTTTTTCTTAATATCTATAAAAACTTTAATTAATCTAAAGAAAATATTAAACTAAGAATTTTGTTTGATTATTTAAATTTTTAAATAACATTCATTTTTGTTAAACAAAAAACTCAACTATTATATCAAGTACTAACAAATATGATTCATTAAAACTTTCAAACCCAATGTTTTCATTGATCGATTATTGAGCTGATTATAATAGACATAGAAAAAGATGATTTACTAAATATTACCTGGAGGAAGCAGACATATTAGACAAGTGCATATTGACATTATTGATAAAGAACAACGCTTACTAAAGAGTTTATTAACATTTAAATTCTGTGTGCCTTCTTGACTTTTACAAAATGATCAATTTTACTTTTTTTTTTCTTTACATATCATCTTAGAAAAGAAAAGTTATATATCATTAATGACCTAATAGGATATTTTTTAATGCATCATATTATAAGACCATCTGTTTAGTGCAGATTTGTGAAAACACGACTGTTTATCTCTAATGGGAAAAGAAAAAATGACACGTTAATAGTAATGTGCTATCTATATATCGACTATAAAAATTGATAAATATCAATTTATAATCATTTATTTGATTTCTTATATGAAAAAATCATAATTATGATGAACAATTTCCATCTGACATTATTAGAAGATACAAATTGAAAAAAAGATTTTTTTTTTTATATCAGAAAGGACAGAATATTCTATTGATCGTATATATTGAAGTTAACTAAACAAAACCCCAAATAATATAATTCTGTATTTATATAATACTTGTAATTATAATTTTTTTTTGTTATTGTACTTATAGTAGATAGTGTATTAGTACTAGCCTCATCAAAAAAGGATTTATTAATCCCTTTATTTTTAGTATTTGAAACTCGTATAGAATAGACTTGATGATTTTATAGTAAATAACAGTATTTGTTACTGATTCTATTTTTTAAGAATGAAATCTTTAGCGAAAAGGACATTATCGAAATACTTCTTCGAATAAGTAACATGATGTTGTTTCTTTCCTTTTTGCATATAAATATAATAAGAGAATGAATTATTTTGTTATGTTAACATATGTTTCTTTTATCGTGAAAATTTTATTGGATTTAGATTACATATATGTTTTCTATCTCGATGACCTTCTCTCCCCTGTTGTAACATTTGTTTATCTGTACGAATGTATATTCGTTCTTTGTTCGCTACTAAAATAAACACTCAAACGATCAATCAATGTGTCTAGAGACGAGAATTGGTTGTGTTGGTGGTACGTTATCGCACAGACTTCAGACATTATAAAGCCAGTGTGATCATCAATATTAACTCTACTATAACAAAAACAACAACAGCAGTGGTCCAATTAGCTCTAGTGCGTCGTTGTTTCAAATAAAAAGAAAAAGAAAACTAAGAGAAAAATGAGAAAAAAAGGAAATGTCGTCTCATTTTTTTTCCTCTCTATTTTTTTGTTGAAAACTGAGAAAGCAGGAAAAAGAACATGCGCACATATATACGAACAACCCGAAAATCTTATCCGTCAGCTCACTTTCTCGTTGCCGTAGACGTTACACTAAAAGTGGCTAGATGAGTCTTCACATAGAGTGTTAGAAGAAAGACAGCGAGAGGGGGGGGGGCGGATATTTTGCTATCGCTACTACTACTACTCCTTGTGTTGTTATTCTGCATAGTGCCGCTTATTCACATACAATACATTGCAGAGATCATCAGCAAATAACACATAACAAAAGAATTGAAATGAATTTGATGAAAAGAACGAGACAACTGCCCTTCTCCTCATTTTTTTCGTCCGTCTTATAATTGTATTTGACGCGTTCCACTCATCAATATCGTCGTTGTTGTTTCGTGATCCATCGACTCGAGTAGCTCATCGCCAGATCATCCGCAGAAAACTCATCTGAATAGATAGAACGATCGACAAGACCAGTTTTTTGCTCTCTCCCGTTTACTTGTTCCCTATCGCAAAATAAGTTGACGTTCGTCTTGCATGCACATTGAGCCGATAGTCTTTAGTTGTACTGGATATATATATATAAATCTTTCCGTTCTTGTTATTTGTTTATAGATTGCTCGAAAAAAAAGAAAGTAAAATATGCTTTGTTGTTTTTTTTCGTACCATTTAAATAACTAATATTTTCTTTGCGATTATGTATATATTACTTTAGCATAATGTCTGCTGATTATTGATTATTTTCTTATTTGGTCTATAGCATATACATTTATTACTGATCCATTTTTCTGTATTCTTGATTATAGCAAATGGGAAAATAATGTTACTATAAAATATGATATATTCCAAAAGAAAAGGAAAATAAGACAGTTAATGGATGAATTATGTTTTCTAGATATAGAGAGAAGAAATACAAAATGAATTTATGTAATTTAAATAAATTATTAATTCTATGTACCATGATTTTGCGAGAGTACAAATTATATCGATAAAGTATATATTATGTGTTGACGTTCTTGTTGATCTCTTCGTCTATCAACATTGACAAGAGTTGAAGACAAATATGTTGATTCTGGTACAAGATCTATTAGGAAATGTTTCTCTTGTTCTTTTTCTTTCTTTTTGTTTCTATCAAAGCATAACAGAGATTGTTTTTTTATTTGAATTATTTTATCATGTTTACTAGCCGGTCGTTTTTTTTTCTTTTTCCATTTTCGTTAGTTTCCTGCATGACTTACGCTTGCAACTCAGTCATAGTCGCCGTTAGGCGGATGTAATATGCCTCTTTTATATATATACGAATAGATGAGTATGTTGAACTATCACACGCTCCAATTAGCGGTGCTCGATCGACAAACATATTCGAGCAAACGATGATGGCAGGCCGACGGGTGCTAGGAACTGAAATAATAATAATAAAAACAACAACAAAAAGAGAAGACAGAAGCAGCAACACCACCGATTAATCCTTCATGGGCTTTTTCTTTCTTATTTGTGTCTGCTAGAAAATGTGTCAAACAGCGAAGTAGGAGAAGCATCGCTTTTTATCGATATGACGCACGTTAGTACGCCTTCTTCCAATGCCAATTTGTCTTCTTGGCAATATCACAACAACTATAGTTAGAAAAATCGTACTACTATTATTATAGGAAAAAAAACAAAGCCTATGGTAAGTATTTTTTTTATTGTTCATACGAATTAGCAATAGAAAATATCGATTACTGGAAAAAAAACACAGAACTGTCATATTTATATTGTTGATGAAAATCTAACAGATGAACAATGTGTATAAGAAAGGAGAAGCATTAAATATATATATTTAAAGAAAAAAAAAAGGGCGGTTGTACTTAAGCTTCGTTCTAGTTTTCTCTTTTTATTAATGTTCACTATGTAATAATACGAGGAACAGCATTTTTCTTGCATGCTGCTCCGGATGTTCACTCTCCTGCTTCTTTTTTTTTGTTTCTTTCTTTCTCTCTCTTTTTTTTGTTTATGGCATCGTGACTCTGTGATGTGAGGTGTTTCCGTGCGCAATACGGCTTGTTCAAGGCGTAGAAAAGGTGAAGAATGAGAAAAAAAACCATAAGAAACTAGACAGTTCAATGGTAGAGTTCTATCCGACAGGAATCTGTCTGAGCGAAAGAGAGAGAGAGACAGAGAGAGAGAGAGAGACGGAGACAGAGAGACAGAGAGAGAGAGAGAGAGACGGAGACAGAGAGACAGAGAGACAGAGCGAGAACAAGAAACGAAGAAATGAGTGAATGAATGAGAAAAGATCTTTCTTTCTTTTTTTTCTTCTTTATTGACGTGTTACCATTATGTACGTCATGATAGAGCTTCTCCTACCTTTATGTCTATTCACATTGCTTAACGGTGCACAACCGACATGTAAGTAGAATCAACAATAATTAATCGATTTTCGTAGACTTGGAAAAAATCAATAAAATATCTAATTCAATTGTTTGTATACGATATATCGTAGAAAAGTAAAAGAAGATTTCTTTTTTCTTTTGTTTTATTCTTTATCGTTGATACAATAAAACTAAATTTTCAAATTAATGTCTATATAAAAAAGAAATCTATTTCTTATTTCGTAAACTATAATAGAAATATCGTTGTTAATCTGTAATCTAGATTAGACAATAAGAGAAAAGAAGAAGAAAGAAATGAAGAGAAAAGCTTTCTTTTTCATTTGCTAAAGAAATCAAGCGAATGCTATTTGCATGTCTGTAAATGACATTTTTTTCCTTCTTATTTATTTATTTATAACATAAATAGATATTCATGTAATTCTAGGATGTCAAAATGGGCACTGCAGAATCGTCTCAATCGTCCGAAATGGGTGCCACTGCCGGACTTAATAATCAATCATCATTTCATCGACAATCACCTAATGTTGCACGTTTAATACGCAGTGAAAATTCATCGAAAATGGAATATGAATTTCCGATATCGGAAGCTTCTACCAATAGTTCATTACATCACCATCACCATCATCGCCATCATCATCATGGTGATGGTGGTGGTACTAGTAATCATTCTATAATACCCGGCAATAATAATAATCGTCATGGTCATTCATCTTCACATCATAGTAATTCATCAAATTCTCCACAACAAATAAATACTAGTGGTCATATTTTAGGAAATTATGACAATTTAAGACGTAGAAAACTACATTCAAGTCAAACGTCAAATATATGGTTATCATTAACAAGTTGTTTTGGTTGTCGTACACGTAGTTCGGATAGTTCATCAATGAATTCTTTACGTGATAAAGTACATGCTATACGTATTGTTCGTGCATCGAATGATCTAACACCAGCTGTATTTGATTCCCATTATAATATAATAACACTTGAACAATTACGTGAATGTGATAATACAGCAAGTGGAAATATAAATTCATTACCAAATGATTTATCTGATCCATTGCCATCACAAAATTCTGATTCGTATGCACCTGCTCAAAATGGTAATGGATCAGTACCAGCATCATCATCAGTAGAACCATCATCATCATCATCAAAAAAAGATAATAATCATCGAATGAGAAAGAAAAAGAAAAAACGAGCAGCGGCGGCAACAACAGCTTATTCATCTAAAACAACATATTCTGATGATGATGACGAAGGATCTGAGCGGACGTGAGAATAATTAAAATGCAAGTGAGATACTGCTGGTCGGTTTCTCATCTATATTCAGTCAGAATGTATTGTGTCGTTTTGCGTAGTGATAAATTGGTTAATACCCGTGCAATTGTGTTTAGCATTTTAAAGCAGTCGGTTCCTTTTTTTTCTTCTTTTTTTTTTTATTGTATAGTCTCACTACAACATTCATTTTATGACAATTTCGTTTTTAATTTCAACTTTCCTTCTTTTTTTTGCTTCGTCTTTATCAACAGTCTTTTTCCTTCTTGTTTCTTTTTTGTTTCATCTGTGCATGTTGCACTTTCAAGTGAGAGCTATAAATGGAAAAGTATAAATTAAAGTTTTCTTCTTCTTTTTTTGCTTTTTTTGAAACAAAAAAACATAAAGACGTTATTGAAATGAAAATACACTCGTTTTAAATTAACAACTAGAAATGTTTTCTTACTAACAAAGCTTTTTATTATATGACATGTTTCTTTTTTGTTTTATAATTATCAATCATATATCTTAGAAACACAAGAAAAAAAAAAAGAAAATTCTTTTGCAGATCTAGAAATATACATTTCTTTGCTTTTGCTTTCCCATAGGAAATGTGCGATTTGACTGATTAAAACACGTGATAGATAATAAAGTACAGAACATACTTAATAAATAATGTTGTAAGATTTTTTCCAATCAATTTCTTTTCAATCTCTTTTTACGGAACTATAGTGTTTTGTGAGTAATAAAAAGCGACTTTATGAACTATTTTTTTTCTTTTTTTTTCTTCTGTTCAATCAGATATTATTTTCCTTGATTTATTTTCTTTTTATCTAGATTAAATAACGATTTTTTTATTATAGTTTAGCAAAGTTTTCAATGAAAATTTGCAATTATTTATTTAAATGAAGTAAATTCATAAGTTAAACAAAAGATTTTTTTTACTGTTATTGATGAAGGCAATTGAAAGCGTTTTTATACAATATCATTTGAAAGACACATCATTTGTTTTGTTGGAATATTCAAGGTTAATAGCATTTATTATTGTTTCAATAGAATATCATTTAATATGGCAATATTTGTGTATTCAAACAAGAAAACAAACAATAATTATAAAACGTTTTTAACGGAACAGAACCGATAATTTGATTTACATGAATTGTCATATTTAAAATTGTAAAAATCTAATTTACAGTTTTAAATAATCAAACAGTGAATCACATAATACATTTGAATTATATTTTGTTAGAATATTCTGTCAATATTGTTGCACTTTATGATACATATATATTCAATGTAAATGAAAAAATATAAATGCAAACGTAACTTATAATCAATATGGAAATGTTAAATCCGTAATCTATGAACTAAAAAAAAATCAGCTAAGAATACTAATGAAAAACATCTATGAAAACAAGTTCTAGAGTTTTTTGTTGTCTACAAGCAGTAACAAAAGTCAATCGTCTTTCAAAATTACTTTACACAATTATTGAAATATAATTCAACTAGAAGTCGATTTTGTCTCAAATCGATAGAAGCAATGAATACTTATTGACACAAGAGAAACAATGCATCATGAATTGAACTAAAGAAAAAACAGTCAGATTAATCATAAGTTGATTGCATTGATTAGTAAAATAGCAGTCACTTGTCAACAGTATTCTTTGGGTATTTGAAATAATCAAGTTCTTTTTGTTGTTATGAATAAAAATATATTATTTATAATCAACGGAACAAAAACAAAAAAAAATAGAAGCAATCAGTTTTATATATAAACGAGTTTTCGAGAGCTCATGGTCGGAAATATCTAGTTCAAATAGGGTTCAAGTTATGATAAAACTTATTTGATCCACGAGGTCATTGTATTCTCTTCTCGATCAGTTGTATTCATATAATGTACTTTTCAATTCTTATGAAGTATTGTCGAACACAAAAGATAATTTTTTTCCGCACGCTTTTTTAAACATAATCGAACAAAGTTTCTTTTTTTTTCTATATAAAAAAAAAGTTTTTGTTCGAGAGCTAATATTTCTCATAATATTTACCTATCAATTTGATGCATAAAGAATCTTGAAAGTATTCAAAATTATTTAATAATAACGACTATCAAATTGAAGTAATTTTCTTTTTTTAAAATGTTCGTAAGACTGTTTGAACAAGCGAACATAACTTAATGTTTCAGAGGCATGGAAATACCTATGTAACAAAAGATATTTCTCTAATGAATGTTTAATGACTATACATTATACTTTTCTTTTATTGTTGTCTATACTAATCATTCTAAGCATCTTTGCCATTTTGCTTATAGAAACTAATTTATATTTTATAATTGAACCGGATATTAAATATAGTAATTGATTAAAATGTCTTATATTAGAAATTAGTTAGTAGAAGTTTTTAATCGATTTTAAATACTATTATTTCGATTTTTCTTTTTTGAAATTTATTGAAGTACTATGATTCATTATTTATCCTTCAAAATACAATAATATTAAATAATGAAAAACATAAGTAATAATAACTACTTACAAATATTAAATTATAAAAAGAACAGAGGAAGTATTTTTTATTTTTAAAATTAAAAAAAGTAGATTCACGAATATTTCATTGTATGTGATAATCATAACAAGTTTTAGTTAAATTATTCTTCTTTAGACAAAGAATGCAACTACGAATAGAGTCATTCAATTAACGAAGTTAAACTAAAGATTTATATTAAATCGAATATTTGTTTTCTAATATATTAAAATAAAATTTGCACATTAATGATATAGAGTATCTTGCTCGATTTTGTTTTAACAAATATTGAAACATCTAAATGATAGATAATCTATGAAGAAAAAAACGCTTGCTATCAAAAAGTAAATTTACATCTTATAAAAAACAAATAAACAGTAATTGACGAAAAGGGATCTATTTCTATTTGCAAAAGCATGAAGACTAAAAAAAAAGAAACAAAATCTATTAAAATAATATTTCATTTCTTTTAACAGTATTAGTTGTGTAAAGATAACTCAAATTGTGTAATTATATTCAATTTGATAATTAAAACTCTGTCATTCATTGTAAATATGCTGTAATGATCTGTTTATAGAAGGAACAGAATTTTTTGGCTAGTATGTCGATTGTTTTCATTCACAATCTACCTATAGACGACTGCAAATATCTTACAAGAAAAGAACATATATGAAACGTTACCTATACTACTCGTATAAAAAAAAGGTTAAGTATGTCATTATAAAACAATCGTAATACTAACGACGAGATCAAGTCTCTTATCAATCGTTCGTTTTTTTGAATAACATATACAACTAAATTCAATGCGTACGAATGCTCCTCTTTTCTCAAGGCAGTCCTACCGTGACCGTTATAAACATCATCATGCCATTCTTCATAGTCCAGTAAGTATTTAAAAAAGAATTTTTTTTAATGATATTTTAAATATCTGTTCTGTTTTTTGTTATAAATCATAAGTCATCACAAGAACATGTTTCAATAGTTAATGAAAGGATACATGGAGTCAAATTACGTCATCGTCGTGCTCAAACAACACTTTCGTTTTATGACAATAATTTGGATGAAGAAAATCAACATATTATATCAAAATGGACTATTGTTCGACGACGTTTACCTGATATTCTTGCTCTTAGTGATACGTATAAGCCGAAAAGTGTTCGAGCTCAACTTATTTTGCTTGTTGCTTTAATGAATAAACAAGCAAATGAACTTATAAGTGAATATAATAATACAATATCTCATATTGTTCCAAGTAATGTTATTATTGATATAAGTGGTCGTAGTCAATTAATTTGCTTAAAACGTATACCATCTCAACAAATGATTCATGTTGATGTTAATGGTTTATCATTTTCAATTCCAACACGACAATTTATATTAGCTGTAAGTCGTGGTGATTCGAATGAAACAGCTGTTCGATATTGTCCATTGGCTATACGTGATATGTTAATTGATTTATCAAAAACAAAAGCTATTGAAGAACGTCAACAATATAGACGTGCACAATTTAAAATGTATGTGGGTAAAATTTTATTTCTTCTCATATTTATATTTATAATTATAATGATGTTAGCACTTATACTTAGTGTAACTGATGCAATGTTTAAATTAGATTCATTTAATTATACATTACCACATATGCCAATACAACGTTTAACATTAAAACAAACAGATGAAATGTTTCCGATATGAACAAAATAGCAAAATAAATAATGGTGATAATCTTTTTGTTTTAAAAATTCTTTTCGCTTTCTTTTTTGGTTTTCTAAAATATTAGATAGTTTTTTTTTTCAATTTTGTTAATAATGTTGAACGAATGATATACATGTAGAATACAAAATAATAATTATTATTCTTTTTTTGTTGATTATATGAGTGCAAAAAAGGCATCAGCTTGACCCTTATATATTTGATATTGTTACCAAGTTTTTTTGCTCTATCATACCGTTATTCATTCATCTATCGTATCACTTGATATCTTCGATTGTAGTGAGAGTATTAAATCAAGCAGAGCAATTTATAATATTGCTTTAAAAAAAAACTTTTGGCCTGTGTGTGTTTCTTTCGGCATGTAAGTTTAGAGTTTTAGAAAGTTTTCTTTTTTTATTTTCGTCAAATTTGATTTGAAATAGAAAACGTTTTATTTTAATATATATATATATATATTATTTAAATATTCAAATTAATACGAAAATTTCTTTTTAGTAATATAATACAATTCAAGTATTTGTTTCCATCTGTGAGCACTTGGTAACTGTATGTGACCGTCGCACTCCTTCAATATCGTTTTCAGGAAATTAAAGAATATATTTGAAAAAAAGCTATATTACAGAAAACTAACTGTGTTTACTATTCATGGGAGATATTTGAAATAATCATTTTTTTGTAATGATCTGTTTCATTTGCTCAAAACAAAAAGAACTAGCAACTAATGACTTTAATTTAAATTAAAAAATTTCGAGGGTCAACGAGCATGAATGCTAATCATATTCTATAACAAACTTCGTTTTTTTCCTAAACTGTCAAGGCTGTTTCATGTGTTATAAAGTCAAATTAACAGTGTATATAGATTTTGGTGAGACTAGATAAATTATAGACGAGTTGGTTTCCATAGCGCACACTATTCAATAGTTTGAAAATGAAATATTCATTACAAATGAAACTTCTAGAGTATCATAAAAAGGAAAATTGAAAATCGAAATTCAACAATTAATTGTTTGAGTTGTTTTCTTATCAGAACTGATATTATTTTTGCAAAAATTTTATCATAAAGTAAAAAACTTGATCTATTTAGTTTTATTCAATTAAATGCTTCTGATTATGTTCTATAGTTATCATGATAAAATTCAGTCTTTTTATATTTACCCTTTTCGGAATACTGTAAGAAAGGTTATGATCATTATGATTAAAACAGTCACTGAGCAACTGTAATCAACCGAAAAATTCGAAATCGATCATCGATAAACTTATGTCTAACTCCATTATAAAGTTATTTTTATATTATAAAAAACAAAAAAAAAGAAATCATTTGATTTAGTTGTAAATCATGTTAGTCAACAATCAAGTTTCTTCAGGCGAATATCGCCATAATTATATTAGAATGGCATCCCTTATTGCTACAGTTCTTTTATTTGTTGGTTTTATTGTTGTCGATCAATTGTTCGAACAAGGCAATAACAGTAAATTGTTTTTTCTTAAGAAAAAAAAAGGTAAAGATCAATTTATTATCTTAATCTTCAGGTGTTTTTCCGAGTAAATCATATCGTCTCGAACAAATCTTTCCTAATGATATAACACCATCCGATTGGGTTTATCGAAGTTTAAATGTATTTAATTATTTTTGGCAGGTAAAACAAATATTTTATTTAACAAAAGAAATGAATTCTGTGTTTAGCTTGCTTGGCTTTTTTATTCATTAACATTTATTTATCGTCGATCAGCAAATGGTTATCTTTATTTATCACCAAAAACATTAACACTAACATTTACCATTATATATATAACTGGTTTTCTTATTCAAACAATTTGGCTTTTATTTTTTTATAAAACTTATATAATTGTAAATATGAAAATTCGACATGATAAATTTTATTGTTGTTTTTATCTCTTTCATTTCTAGTGGAGTTGGATTATTTATTTAGTTTCATTTTTATTATTATCACTTGCTTTATTTATTATTAATAATAATTTAGCAGTAAATAAAAAAATCTATGAAACAGAAGGATTGTAAGTAATTGATTTAAATGAAAAAAAAGCATGGTTTTTATTTTTATTTTTTCGATTCTTTAGTAATCGAGATGTTTGGTGTCTTCGATTTTTTGCTCAAAATGGTGTAGCATTTTTTGCTTGTTGGACAGGTTTGTAAATAATTTAAATTTTCTTTCGATAATATATTTCTTGCTTTTTGTTTTTAAGCTGTTCATTTTATTCTTACATTCAATATATTTCTTCAAATTAAATGTAATTTATCAATGGTTAATGCGGGTACAATATCATTAATCTTAGCAATTATTATAGCTGGTGCATATTGTTTTGGACCTAATATTAACGCAGTACTTGTTGAAAGATGTGCCTATCAATTTTCACCGTGGCTGGTTTCTATTATATTCTTTTGGGGTGTTGTCGAAAATAATTGGATACCAAAAAATCCTACAAGAAATAATATTATTGCAGCTATTGAATTACTAGCAAGTCTTGTGTCAGCTATTGCTGCATTGGCATTGTTTACAATGCGTTATCGGGCTTCGAAAATAGATCCTCTAATCTAAATAATATTTTGGCTAAAAAATATCAATATCAAATGGTGTTGTGTATTCATCTTTTTTTATCTCTTTTTTTTAGGTGATTGGTTTTCTTTTTAATTTAATCCAGCTTTTAATAAACAACAAAACATATGGAAAAAAAACAAACAGAAATAATAAATAAAATTATGTCTTTTTTGGAAATGGATACGATAAGGATTTATTTGTTTGTTGAGCACCAGGTCGTTTTGGAGTCTAGAAATGATAATATTATGAACAAATAGTATGGACTCCGCCGGATTTAGTGACATATTTTGAAACAGAATAGCATAGATGTAGTGTTGTAGAGCAAATCATAATGCATCCAATGGTATATAAGAAATCAAGTTTTTTGAAAACTTTAATGTGCTCTAAGTTCATATACTAATCATGATCTACGAGAAATATCAGTATATTGACGATATTTTAACAATAAATAATGGTCCTATTAAAAATTTTAATGTAGCAATAATCAATGCAGCAACTCAGATGATCTAATATAAATAAGTCCTTTATAGGAGGAAACAACTTTTTGGCCTTCGTATTCCTGGAAAGAGATCTGTTATTTTTATTATTGCCTATTCAAGTTTTTATGACGTGTATTCGAGTTTAACCTTTGCATGAAACTACAAAAATCTATAAATATATCATGTTTCTTTCAAAAAGAAATACTTGCATATGTCTGTATTCTTTCCACAGGGGATCTGGAGGCCAAAAATAAATTCTTTTTCCTGTTATAAAAGAGTTATTTATTCAAATCCTCAGCAGTGCTGTGCTGATTATTGTTACATAAAAGCTTTCAATATGACTGTTGAGTATTGTTAAAACATCGTCAATATACCTGTCATTGCATAAAGGGTCAAGACATAACCGAGACCACAGAAAAGGGACCATTTTTAAAGCACCGATAGAAACAGTTAATTATAAAAACTTGACAAACATCTATAACTGTATCAAATTGAGTTCAAAAACAAAATTTGTATAAGTTTATCTGAGTGATCACAATGTCTATGAATATTATCTATATTTCTCGAAGATTATAATCAGTATCTAAACATTCAGCATACAAAAATTTGAAGAAAACGTGATTTATGATATGTCATTTGATACGACGCATATTGCTCTATGAAACTACGCGTATGATATTTCAGTTTAAAATACGTCACCAAATCCGACGGAATCCTTTCATATAGAAAGAAAAATTTACTTTGACTTTTGACGACTTTGTTGGACGATTCGGTTCGTAGATATCTTCATCATCAGCTGGTCGTTTGAATTTTTCTATGAAAATAAAATAATATTTCTTTTCTTCTTTTACAAAATGTCTTTACTCACTATTTGATAAAATTTCACTTTCATTAATAGGTTCGTAATTAAATGATTGAAATGATGTTTGTTTTTGTTCATATAACTCATCAATAATTTCTCCTGGTTCTTCTTCATCATCATTATCTAATATAATTGTTGATGGTACTTCATCAGCAACGCAAGCACGTCGATATCTTTTAGTTTTAGTTTTATTAATATTATTGTCATCATTCATTGTTTTTCTTTTACGTTTTGTTGTCGACTATAACAAATAGAAAACAATAAAAAAAATTCATTTGATTCATTATGAAAAACTTACTTGTTTACTCAACATGATAACTTCAATATCATCAGATAATTTTTCTTTACGAATATTAATACCATTCTGATTATTAAGATCATGTTGATTAGATTTTCTATTAACTAAAAAACAAAATAATTTTTGTAAAATAAGATTAATTTTTTTAAATAAGAATCTATACTTGATAGATCTCGATCAGGATAATAAATTGTCCATAATGGTTTTGTTTTAGTCAAAGAATCCGTTCGATATGATTCAGGCATATACTAAAGAAGAAAAAATATATATATATTAATTTTAACTCTTAGGATCTTTCAAATAGATTAGAAATTTCGAGTTTAGAAAGAGTAAATAGATAGATACTCGAAGAGTTAAATATATATCTCACGATAAAACTAACTGAACATTACAAATTAATGAAGTTATGAAAATTGAGAGGTTTAAACATTCTTCGAAAAATCTCAAGCATCACATATATCTTCGGTAATCGGAGATAGAAGGATAACAATGATGAAGAAAAAGATTTTATTTCAATTAGAAATAAGTTTATCTTCACTTTTAGTGCTCACAAAAAAATGCTATTTACCCAGTGAAAAATATTCTCTGATTTCAATCAAATTATTGTGCAACAAAATCCAATCCGCAATCGGATTGATAATTTTGATTTTAATCGACCACCATTTAACCCAAACTTAATGCTATTGCTAGCCCAGTGGAAATTAGATTGATTAAAATCGGATTGTTTTCCAGTAAAATCCGCATTGTCAATCGATTGATAATTTTGAATTGTGCTACAGAACAATCCGATTTTAATCAAACTAATTTCCATTGGGCTAGCAATAACATCAAGTTTGGGTTAAATGGTGATCGATCATAATCAAAATTATCAATCCGATTGCGGATTGGATTTTGTTGCACAATAATTTGATTGAAATCAGAGAATATTTTTCACTGGGTATTACTATAAAATATGAACATTTCTGGATATCAGCTTCTTTCTTTTCGCTCGGTTATATTTCATAATAGGACCTATCCAATCGTGAGGAAATCATGTCTTTTTCATTATCTCAACGGAATGAAGTTTAATAAAGCTGAGATTTTCAGAATATATCTAATTCAAATAACTCTATTATACATCTTGAAAGTTGCATTAAACTTGAAACTTCCTTTATAATATAGGATCGTGTTGGAATGAATAAAAATGGATATAGAATTTGTGACTTGTGTAAGGAACTGAAAAATTCAGTTCTACCAAAAACTGAAAAAAGAAAACTTTCTGTAGGAACGTTGTGGCTTAGAGGATGAGTTATTTATAGGGAAAAAGAAAATTTGAAAAATATTTTTTCGAGAAAGGAAAAGGCTTCACAATGAAGTTACATTTAAAAAAATACTCATGTTCTACTCAGCATTTATTTCTTCAGAAAATGAGTTTTCGTTTTACAGAATGAACAGACTAATATCATTTTGTTAAAAAAAACTAAAAATATATCTAAAATAACAATATAAGAGAAAAATGAATTTTTTTTTAATAAAGTAACTAGGTCACTCGATGGCAATTCCGTTTTGATCTTTCTGATGAAACTCAGATTTTTATATGAAGGCTAATGAGTTTTTTGAATAAAGCGTAAACAAATAACGCTAGAGCACTCATTCATAAAATCAGAAATATCCTGTTTTTGACTAAAAATCAATTACAAGCTATTCTCGTGACAAAATTATCTTTGTAAATGGCTGCTTTTCATATGTATAAATAACTTCATTAAAAGAAGACTAAATTTAGATCTCTTGTCCGGTTTAAAGAGTCTACTCCAAATAGTTCTAAGAATATGTAATCATCTTTGATAAAAACCATATTTGTTTATATGAAAAATTAGTATGCTATCAACGTTGCTCTACAAGCTAGTCATATTCGTTTTTGCTTGATTTCATTTGGACAAATGCTCAGGTTGAATAAACTATTCTTTCTTATGATCTATGTGATACATATAACTGAATCGAAAAGCAAAATAATAATATTGAATGTTTCGTTCATACATTTTAGATAATCAAAGAATATTTTTCTTTCCTTTCAAAAACTTTTCAGTGACATATAAAACTAGAAAATACCATATCGAAAAAGTTTGTCAATTTATGTAATCGAATATTTGGTACTGGTAATAGTTGTGTTTTAATTTGAATTGGTAATAATGAATCATTTAATTTATCACGTTTATTTGATTCTTCAATAAATGTTTCATCAAGAATAGAAGAAAGATCTATAGAAAAAAATGTTTTAAAAAGCTTTCTCTTTTTGTTTAATTAATTTACCATTCGAAAGAATTTTTTTCATTGAATTTATGTTTGTTATTTGCTGATGTTCTACTTGATGTGATGTATCATGTGGACAATTAAGAACATTTTCTGGATCATATAATGCAGGTAATGTTAATGGTGCTATTTGTTGTTCTTTTGGTTCCTAAGAAAACGAAACAAACAAAAAGTTTCTCAGAAAAAGTTTTTATTGAAAAAAAAATTCTTTACTTCAATTAAAGGTATATCCCGAACTTGTAAAATAATTTGATGTATATCATGTAAATTATGTTGAACAAGTAATGGTACTGGATTACAACAAGCACGAACACCTTGAGGTTCTCTTTTAAAATTTAAGAAAAAAAAAAGACTGTTAGGACAATCCCTATGGAAATAAAATGTGAAACACGATTTAGCTGCTCTTGTTAATCAAAAGAAGATTGTCTTATTAGAACACATTCCTTCAACATCGCTTTACTTAATGCTCCAAAAATGCAATTACGAAGTAATTCGATGTTATTGGTATTTCGATCTATGTACATTGCACAATTTCTATTGAGCCCGTAGACATGACTTATCTTCTTTCATATATCTCAATCCAAAAGCTTTTCTTATAGATCAATAGAACATAAGTCCTATGTTATCAGACTATGTATGATTTATTGTCCATCCTTATTTTTCAGAAAAAAAACGATTTTTTTCTGTAAAGCTGTGATTGTGTAGCAATGTCTGTAATACTAGAGAAAGGATCTGGATTTTTATCCTTATACTTCAAAACTTCTTTTAGATCGTGTTTCACAAAAATTGTATATAAATTTTTAATAAAAACTTATTTTCAAACCTTGGAAGAATTTCTGAGATTTGAAGAAGCATATGATTAGGTAATACAAATCTTTAAAATAGAAAGAAACAAACAAAAAAAAACAGAAATGAAATAAGTTTGAAAATATAAAAGGTCGATTTTTTCATACCCAGTTGATTCATCTTCTTGACGAGCAATTCTATCACGCCAATAATAAAGAGATTTTAAAGCAGCTAATTGTCGAATATTAAATGTTTTCCGTGATTTTGAATAAATATTTTGATATGCATTATCATCAAAATATGGTTTTTTATATAGCTTAAAAAAACAGAAGAACAAAAAATATTTTAAATTAAATTATTTGTATTATTTAAATTACTTTTTGACAAATTATCTTCGATTTTTCATAAACAGTTTTAAGAAACTGGGGATTTTTTTCTATTAAACTATTACGTAATAAATCATATATATAAAGAAGATAATGTGTATCTTCACGAGCATAACGAAGATATTCTTCTGGTAAAGGTCTAAGATAATCAAATCAAAATCAAAATTGGTCTGTTTTTTTTTCAACAAATAAATTTCAATAGAAAACCTTATTCTCCAATCAGCTAATTGAAATTGTTTATTAGCATCAATATCACAATAAGATTTTAATAGATAAGCAAGTGAAAATCCTGGTAAATTAAGTTCTCGTGCTGCTTGATGTGTATCAAACATATTAACAATATAAAGACCAAAATCTTTTTGTAACCATTCAATATCAGAATCCGCACCATGAAAAACCTATTTATGATTTTAAGAAAAAGAAAAACAATAACAACAACATTTTATTTGAATTCAAAGAAAAAAAAAATTCGAAAATTTACTTTAACAATATTTGGATTTGTAAAAATATTATTTAGAATATTTAATTCATCACGTAATGTAAGCGTATCAATTAGAAAATCTTCTGTACGTGATGATATTTGCATTAAACATGTAAAACCTTGATACGAACGATAAGAATGATGCTAGATAAAGAAATATTTTCATTTAAAAACAAAGATTCAAAACAATAAGCAATAATAAGAAATACTTCTAAATCAATTGCTAATTCCGATTGAATTTCAATATGATCTATCATTGTTTTAAGTTTGTCAGGTGTATCAACAAATAAATATTTTGTTTCATCAAGTGATTTTGATAACTAAAAGAAAATATTTAAATTATTACATTTCTATTAATCTTTAAATGAATAGATTTGATGTTTTTTGGTTTCAATAAAAATTCGATGATACTTATGTATATCTGTAGAAGAATCAAAACATAAATATGAGTAAAATTTAGTTGCATTTCTCTAGAAACAACAGTTTTGAAAGTACGGAAAGTTATGTTTATTATAAAATTAATTTGCCAATGGAATATTTCGATGGAATAGGCTATTGAATTTTTTTCTTTTGAGGTTTCAGGTTTTCGGAAAACTAGTATTTTCGAATTTTTATCTGAAACTTTCAAGATATGGACGTTTTTCCATGGATGATCTAACATACAACATGCACTTTTTGATAGCTACATATCTCGAGAAGATTTTATTCAAAACTTCGTAGTTTTTTTTTTTTTATGGAAGTTAATCGAGGTGAGTTCTCTATATGGGCAAAGTTTCGAATTAATATTTAAGCATACGAGTTTTCCGAAAATCTGAGATCTCGAGAGAAAAAATTTGATAACTTAGTCAAATCTCAATAGGAATTCATATTTTTTTGTAAAGGTTTTTATTATAATACTATATAGTATAAAAATGTGATATAATTCTTTCAGCAGTGCTAATAAGCTTGAGATATTATGTCTGAAAATTACAGTTAATATATTATCGTTTTAACTTTTTATCTCATTCAACTAGTACCATACTGACGAGAGCAACATGAATCCTAGAAAACTCTGAAGGACTCTATTTATTTTCGTGTCTTATCAATAGGATATTGACGTTTTATTTTTGTAGATGTATTTTACTGATCATGTGAACAATGGTTAACGAAATACGCTCATGTTGAAAGTTTCTTCTCACTATTGACAATTTTTGTCCGGTTTAAATCAAATGAGTCTCCATTAATACTTATTCATCTTTTCGAAGAAATAAAATATTATTAATAAATTTATTGTACTTCTCATAATTATATTCTTATTATTTAAAAAAACATCGATCTATTTGCTCACAATTTGTAAAACATTTCTTGTGAAATTTTATCTATACCTGAACTTTGACTTCTTTTAATAAATTTTCATTTGGTTCAAATGCTTCAATTTCATCGAAATATGGATGAAGTAATCTAAAATGTATAAAATCCAATTCTTAATTTGTCTCAGAAGAAGAAAAAAAGCCATCAGGAAAATTCTTATGGGATTAAAATGTGAAAACACGATTTTGTTTCTGTTGCAAATCACACAGACATTGCTCTATTCTGGTACATCTCTTCACCATTCTGCTTACCAAATTCTCCAGAAATACAATAAGAAATTTGTTCATGTATTAAAGCGATATGTTATTGATATACAGTCTTTAATCGTATATCAACAATCTCTGTGGGTCCAAGTCTCTATTTCTATACTCGTTTTCGATCGTGTTTCACAAAAAAAAAATAATACTCACAATTCTGGATGTCTTTCTAATAGAAGTGTGTCAAATGAACGAGAATCTAATTGTGACAACATAACTAAAAGGAAAATTTTGATTAAAAAAAAAATGTTCGACAAAAAATTTTGAAATTTACTTGGTAATGGTACTATAGCATTTGGTTTTATTCGAATTTTCGGAATAAATGGAATTTGAGGATTATTATCAACTTTGTCGGTAAATTTTATTTGTGGTTTAGGAATATTTTTTGTTTGTTGATGATTTATTGAAAATGTATTTGAACTACGTTTTTGTTGTTGTTTTAATGAAGGTATATTTTCTTGTAAAACAAATCCATCCTAAGAAAGTAGCAACAGAAAAATAATGGTTCGATTTTTTGTTATTTTTATTTTTATTTTTACTGTCTTATTCCATGTAGCAGGAACATTACGAATCGATGGAACAAGGGATTTTACTTCCGATGAAAGTTTTTTTAATCCTGTTGCTTCATCAAGAGATGAAGACTAAGGAAAGAAAAAAAAAATTTTTATTAAGAAAAAAAATGCAAACTTACGATTCGTTCAAATAGAATATCATTCATATCAATTAATTTTTCTATTTTATCATCATGATCAGCTTCTTTCCATGAAACAATACCCAAATCACGACGTAAATTTTGTTGTTTTAATAAAGAATTCATACTAATATAATTGAGGATTATTTTATTTTTAAAAACGATATAAAAATGTTTTTCTTTTACCTTTGTAAAACTTTTTCAGCTATTGTATCCATTCGACGACGAAGTGGAGCAAAGCTCATCAAAAAATCATGATCATTTGCACGAGATAAATCATTTGATGAACGTATTAATTTCATTACAATTGAACATGCAGTCTGAATAAACAAAATTATCAAACGTCTTGTTTTTTCTTCTTTATTTCAAAAATTATCCTTACATCTTTATATGAAGATACATCAGAAAATTCATTGAGAAAAAGATTTGAACTTGATGTTTCTTCTGATGACATTGTTCAAATAATTAAATCTGAAAACAAAATTATAATCGTTTTGTCTACAAGTACTTCAGGTTGTAAGCTACAATACTCTATATCAAATAAACGAACTGTAATATGTGATATAAGACTGCACAAAAAAAAACGACGAGTGTTTTTTCTTTTCTATCAAATTGTTTGTAGTTCAATAAATAGAATAAATCTATTTGATCTCATCTTAATTAAACAGTTCATATTTTATTTTACTCATTAGAGAAATTATCGATATAACTACGTCATTTGTATTTTTCCTAACTCGATCATGGAAAAGAATTTCTCAGTGTGACATCTTTAATAAGAAAGAAATTTATTTGTCATATATAATCTCATAATAATTTGATAAACATCATTAAAAGATTTCTTCCATGAAATAGACCACTTCAATTTTAATAACACCTTAGCAAAATACACGAATACTTCATATGTCACATATCAATGGTTAACTTTAACGATCAATTGAAATTAAGAGCACTACTTTCAATGTTATTTATAATATTTCATATTTATATTTTATTAATTAAATTTTTCGTTAAAATAAATACAAAATTTATTCCTAATCTTAAATGTTATTTCAAATCATTTAACTTTATTAGAGGATTTAAGAAATAAATATAAAAATGGCGAACGAAAGACTTGTTACATGATTCCATTTAAATATTTCAATTGTGAACGATTTCCTTTTCTCTTTTGTTCAAACGAACAACTGCACATTTATATTTAATTCATGGCAAATTACAATAGAGGTGTTCGTTATACACGTCCCCCAGCAAATGATCGTCTAGGTCCACGGTAAATTAAAATTTTATCCTTTTATTTCATGCATTCAAAATCTATTATAGATTTAATCCACCAACAAATCGAAACATTCCACGACATAATTTCACTGATATTCGGTAAATAATCTTGAAAAAGAAAATAATTCAACAAAATCTTTTTCTTTTTTGTAAAGACCTCAATTACCCAAGCCAAATAATACTCAACAACTTCCTAATAAACCATCAACTGAAGTCACTACGTAAATATTTCGGAAAAGATCACTTTTTCCATTAATAAAGAAATCCTTTTTTGTAGTTCTGCACCAGCACCAGCTCCAACGCCGACAACTACATCAAATTCACCTGCTCAAAATCAAGCAGGAAAATCTGAACAAAACAATTCATCGTAAATTTTTTTGTTTCAAATTTTCTATAAAATAATTTCCATTAAATTTTAGTACAACAACATTAAATCAAACAACTTCTAATGATAATCAAAGTAATACTTCAACAAATGTGATACCTACAGATGAACAACGACCGATAGGTTCCGGTGGACAAAAACGACCATATCCAGGCCAACAAACAAATATTTCAACATCACAAAAAACTTCACAAGGTGGTCGTTCACGTTTATTTATTGGTAATATTCCATCGGATTTAACACAAGAAGAATTTCAAACATTATTTAGTAAATATGGTGAACTTATTGAATATTATGTAAATCCATCACGTGGTTTTGGTTTTGTTAAACTTGTATGTTAATTTTGTCTTTTTATTTTTTGTTAAAATTTATTGTTTTTTTGGGGGGGTTTTTGTTTCTTTTAGAGTTCAAGACATTTAGCCGAACAAGCTAAATTTGATCTTGATAATCATGTCTTACGTGGTAAACCATTACGTGTTCGTTTTGCAAGTCAAGGTGCTATTGTTAAAGTTAAAAATTTATCAATGAATGTATCAAATGAATTACTTAAAGAAGCTTTCGAACAATATTTTGGTGCAGTTGAACGTGCTGTTATTATTGTTGATGATCGAGGAAAATCAACTGGTGAAGGTATAGTTGAATTCGAAAAAAAACCATCAGCACAAAAATGTCTGAATGAATGTACTGAAAAATGTTTCTTTATAACAAGGTAAATAAATCATTTGGAGTTTTAAGTACAAATTTTTTTATATTTTAAAAATAGATGGAATTCAGAGAATGTGCTCAGCGTATAGTGCCTTTTTTATTAGAAAACGGCAATAGAAATATCTTGGAGTCTGAGAAAAAAAGAAGTTTAGCGGAAAAATTAAGGCTTTGGAGGAAATTTGATGTATGGTTCAGAAGCGTTTACACTAAATGTAATCATAGAATATAGTTTGAGGAACTTTAGATTGGCGCGCGCGTTCATTTTACTGAGCTGAGTCATTCTAAAAATTAGCTTAGAAAAAACTTTTTTTTCCTCGAAAATCACATACTCAAATTAGAAGATTTCTTCGATGATCTATATCAGATGATATGTGGATTCAGAATACCTACTGAGTAGGCCTGCTAAGTGGTCTAAAATCGATTGTCTCATCGGTACCACTGTTTACAGAGTAGTTTTTGAATTTTGATTGTCCTACTGTGCTTGAAATTTCACTAGATCGAGCATATTTCAAACTATATTCATAAGGGGATGATCGTCGTTTTCTTTTAACTGATGTTTACCTGTTATTTTTCTTTTTTGTTCGCTGATAGCCGCGACCTCGGAACATTTCGGGATAGTAGTAGAATCAAAAATGTTGACTCTGATGATTCTCAAGGTTTCATAAAAACTAATTTAACGAATAGATATCTTACTGAGAACGATCAAGTCATTGAGTTAGAAAATATTTGAAAAAATATAATTTCTCTATTTTTTATTTTCTTGCTCACAAATGAAACAGAAACATTTGAAGTTTGTCGTCAGAAAAATAAAAATGAATGTTATCTGTTTTTCTTCGATTTTTTTACTCTCAATCTATGAGGAATCAAAATTATTTAATCAACGATATGTTAATCTTTCTAACTTGGAATGTTTTATTCTTCTTCATTTGCTTTTTTTAAAAATTCTTTATTGTTATTGATTGACATGTTAACCTTCAACATTTTTTATAGAAAAAAATATTAGCTTTTCATTTTTAATATATATTTTGCATTCAAATTTTCAATCTGCCATTCTGTAGCATGCTGTTTTAAGTGTAGAACCAAATTTTTAGCCTTATTAGAATTCTCATTGCCGAGATATTACAATTTTTCAGCGGGACTTTCTAAAACGATCATAGAAAAATTATCCTTGCATCTTTGATTGAACAGGAACACTTTAATACATATTAATTTTTTTTTTATTTAAAGGGACTTGAAACCAATTATTGTTGAACCATGGGATATGAAAGATGAAGATGATGGTCTACCAGAAAAATCATTAAATCGTAATGAGATATATTTTAAGTAAAATTTATTTTAACTAGTTAAAAATCTTAATAAATTAAAATAAATTTTCTTTAGAGAACGAGAATTACGACCACGTTTTGCTGAACCAAATACAATTGAATATACAATTGGTCTTAAATGGAAACAATTAGAAATACAAGAAAAACAATTATTGGAAGAAGTTAAAAAACGTATGCAATATGCATCGGAACAATTACAAATTGAAATTAATCAAATGTTATTAGAACATGAAGCACAAGTATTAAGAGACGGTAGGAAAGAAAAGAAGATTTTTTTTTCTGTGTTAACTTTTGGAAAATAATAGAAAAAGGATAAGAAATATTATACAAAATAGATATTTATCGAAGTAATATATGTATTTGCGAAAGAATTTTAGTTGAATGAATTCGTTGAATAATTGTTATCGATTTCTTTGTATATGAAATTCCATTATAAAATAACAGAAAAGAATAATTGATTTTTCAATACAATCGAGTAGAGAAGGCGGCTGACTTCTATATGTTAGCTGCTTTTTTCTGTTAAAGATATTTTTGTTTCCGTATCTAATAGAATAGAGTTAAAATAGTCAATATTTTACGAATAAGATTCCATGGAATGTGATTTATTTGTTTGTAATGTATAATGAGATCGATTTCGTCGATTTTTTCACTAATGCTTTACAGCGAACTGATATAGCTATCGAAATTTTTTTTATTTATTGATTATTATTATTTCTCTTATTGAATCGATATAAGTCATGGCAGATTCTTTTTGTACACATTTGAGACTTTGTCGTGGATAATTTTAACTCACAATAGATTATAATTAAGATCGATATATATATATATATATGCATCTAACATCTTAGATATAAACGATCGTTGTAAGATTCAAGCATGCATTCACATATTAGTAAACTATTAGCTGTTAGTTATCGTTTTTCGCATATTTATATTTATCGAATGCCGTCGAATTTTGAAAAACGGATTATAGATGTGCACTCATTAAATTCACACGGTTTCAACAAGCTATTTGTTTAGATTCAAAATGATACTGAGGTGCTGCTGAAAACGATTGATTGGTGTTGAGTGGAAGATGAGAAGTAATAGATCTCTATCTGCCAGACTTTTGGCAAATACTAGAAAAGATTAGCTTGTTTTGTTTTTTATTCAAGAAGAATCTAATAATTAATCGATGTTTGTTTCTTTTGTCTATCCAGAAATTTTAACTCTTCTATTGTAAATAATATAAATATCTAAAACATATAATTAAACACTTATGTTGATTATTATCAACGCAACGAAACATACATATATATATATACATATAAATTGATGTTATAATTCATTGTATGGTAAGTGTGTGTGTTATATTGTTTCTAGAATTAACACGTCGTCAAGAAGATCTTCGTCGAATCGACGAACTTCGATCACATGATTTTGAACGTCGACGTAGTATGATGCCAATGCATCTTCCTGATGCATATAATGTTTCTGTAGGTAATGCATATCATCAAAATCCAGCAGCACCTATTACACATCAGTATAATAATTTTCAACAAACTCCATATCCAAATCCGACAACATTTATTCAACAATCATCATCAATAGATGCCGCTTATACAACAAATCAAGTAGCACGAGGATATAATGTACCAACAGGTCCTAATATACGTGCAAGTGAAGTTGATTATAATCAACAACAACAGCAACAACAACAAGGATTCGATCGTAAGCGTCCGAGATACTGATAAATAAAATATATTTTATGTTTCAGAAAATGATTTT